GGCCCGCTGCTCTCCTCAGCAGTGTACTTCATCCATCTGCCTGTTCTGTTCCCCACTCTGTCTCTGGTGAAGCCTCTTACCGCCCCTGAGCCTCTGGCCTGTACCCCAGTTCTGTATGCACAAATAAATAAATCTTTAAAAAAAAATTATCTTGGTTCAGGCCCTCTCTGGTGGCACAATGAGTTAAGACACAACAGCCGCTTCAGTGTGAGTTCAATCTGGCCACAGAGGTGATCCACATGGTGCAGCAGACCTCTCTTGTCTCACCCGCTGATCCCTTCAGCAGTGTACTTCATCAATCTGCCTGTTCTGCTTACCACTGTTTCTGTTGAATCCTCTTACCCCCAACACCTCAGCCTGTGCCCCAGTTTTTCTATGCATTAATAAATAAATCTTTAAAAGAAATTATCAGGAGGGGGAATGGGATTGGAAGTGGGGTGGGAAGAGTGTACTTGACTGTGGTGATGGCACATGGGTGAATTGGTGGTGGGAAGTCAATGGGGATTACAAATGAGATGAAAAAATGCACAAAATGATGATGTAAAAAATTAAAAAATATAATAAAAAATTATCTTGGTTAATCTTGTAGGTTTATTTTTGATGGTAACCTACATATATCATATGTGGGTCAGTAGCATGCCTAGGGATCTAACTCAGGCCTTAGCAGTGATAGTGCTAAGACTTAACCTCTTAGGCCACCAGGAAGGTCTTCCACTAATTTTTAATTCCATCCACCAAAATCCTAGTCTTCACAAACGCATAATGGGTTCATTATTTTGTTCCATCATTATTTTAAATGAAGTCCCTGATTATTTATCATCACTAAGCTTTGATAACTAACAATTGAAGTCTATGCTTGTAGGCATTTTTTTTTCTCTATTGTTTTTTATATCTAATTTTATTATTTTCCCCTCCATTTTTTAAAAAAATTATTTTGGTTATTCTTGTAGGTTTACTTTTTGAAATATTGTAATTCATTTTCTTTGGATCCACAAAAAATACTTTTACATTCCAACTGGATTTGCCTATTTTTTTAATTAATATGAAGATTAAGTGTTGTCCTTTGCTTTCCCATTCACAAATATCGTCTATTTACTCATGTCTTCCTTTGTGCTCCACAGCAATTTTTTTTTCATTGTAAAATATGAGCTGTTTTATTGGATTTATTCCTATGGGTCTCACATACACATTATCTCCTATTACATTTTAAAATTCATTATTGCTGACTTAAGACCACTATTTTTTTTTTTTTAAAGATTTATTTATTTATTCATACAGAACTGGGGTACAGGCCAGAGATGCGGAGGGTGAGAGGATTCACCAGAGACAGAGCAGGAAGCAGAACAGGCAGATCGATGAAGTACACTGCTGAGGGGAGCAGCGGGCGGGTCAGTAGAGGTCTGCCGCGCCATGTGGTCACCTCCGGGGCAGGCGGGGATTGAACTCATGCGGAAGTGGCTTTAGTTTCTCAGTGCAGTGCTTTAACCCGCTGCGCCACCAGGGAGGGCCAAGACCACTATTAATTTTAAGTTAATCTTGTATTACAAAGTTCTTTTATTAGTACCAAATATTTTGTATTTTTGGATCATATTATCTACAGTTCTGTCAGAATAACTAGGACATTTACTTTTCACTGTGTGTATCCTGTGTCTTGCAGCTTCTAAGCTTACACAAAAGCAAAACAAAATTTGTATTTAGATTTTTTAAATGCTTAAAATTTTTTTGTCCATTGATGTGGTTTCTTTCCACTCCTTCATTTGTCCAGTTTTCTTATTGCTGAATAAATTCAATCTTCATGTATCTAAAAATAGCATTCGTTCTCCCTGGTGGCACAAGGGGTTAAGCACAGCACTATGAAGCTATCTACAGCTACTGCAGTATGAGTTCAATCCCTAGTCAGGGAGCTGACCCACGTGTAAAGCAGACCTTTCCTGTCTCACCTGTTACTCCCCTCAGCAGTGTATTTCAGTACATCTGCCTGTTCTGTTCCCCACTCTGTCTCTGGTGAATCCTATCACACACAGCCCCTCAATACCTCTTGTTTGTACCTCAGTTCTTGTATGTATAAGTAAATAAATCTTGAAAAAACAAAGAGGGCCCTCCCTGGTGGCACAGAGGATCATAGCACAGCTCTAAGAAGCTAAAGCTACTTCAGCAGGAGTTTGCTCCCCGCCCAGAGGTGACCCCATGGCATGGCAGACCTCTCCTGACCCACCTGCTGCTCCCTTCCCAGTGTACTTCGTTGATCTGCCTGTTCTGCCTCCCACTCTGTTTCTGTTAAATCCTCTCATCGCCCCTGCATCTCTGGCCTGTATCCTAGTTCTGTATGCATAAATAAATAAATACTTTAAAAAAAATAGCATTAGTCTCCAGGCTTAAATTACAATTTAACTAGGTATCAAATTCTTTAATGCTACGACTTCAATGCTTTCTCTTCCTACTAATGCTAACGTCATTGTGCTTTCCTCTTACAGGAGTAGCTCTATAAGGAGAGCTCTTAACATATTAGTCACTTGGGATGATAGAAAATACACTGGTCTAGAATCTCGTCCTCTGGTCCTAGTACAAATCTTCCTAGGCCTCAGATTATTCATTTGTTTAAAAAAGTATCCAAAAAAAAAAAAACCTTGATCAAAAACATTTCTAACATACTTCTTAACCAAAAAGTTGGGGTCTATGAGTCTATAATTCTCATCAATTTTGTTACTTCAAATTAGGGGTAATTCATCATAGACCATTCCACCATTCAAGATTCTGAAGAAGAGATAGCTTCAAGTTCTATATCAGACATATAACCAACACATACCTTTCTAGGTTAGTGCTGCCAGAAGAATAGTCCTTGGATCCAGCTCTGCTACCATAAAAGGATGATGACTGCAAGGGTAAAAGCCCTAAAAAACAAACAAACACAGCAACAATTTAATTCCTAAATCAATCATTCTGGTTTATTTAAGAACAAAATTACACCCTAGTCCTATTTACACTTCACTTCTTTTTCCCCTTTTCCTCCCTCCCCCCCTTTCTTTTAAGCAAATATAGATATGTTACAAGATCAAAAGACTATTTTCCTGCTCTAAAACGCTGAATTTTGCTTATATTTTTAATCATTTTTCAAACAGTTTTTCTAATTTGGGCTTCCCTGTTTGTGCAAGGGGTTAAGCCTCAGCAATCCATAGCCACTGCAGCATGAGTTCAATCCTCGGCCAGGGCGCTGGCCCACATGATGCAGCAGACCTCTCCGGTTTCGCCTGCTGTTCCGCTCTGCAGTGTATTTCAGTCAGTCTGCCTGTTCTGCTCCCACTGTTGCCTCTGGTGAATCCTCTTACCCCTGCGGCACTTCTAACCTATACCCCAGCTCTTGTATGCATAAAAAAAAAACCCTGCTTTTCTAATTTCCTCCATGTAACACTAGAAGTGTTTTTACTATTTCTTTATTAAATCATTTTAAAGAAATTCCCTTTTATGAATAATTAGAAATTTTACATTTACATCACCTCTACTCTATCTCTCTTCAATCAATGACTAATTATATAAGTTTATTTCTACTGATTAAGTAATTTTAATATATTTAAAACATATACATCTTGTACCACCACTAACTTCCTTGTTTCCTCCTCTTCCTTATCAACTTTGTAAGATGTACTAAGGCTAAGGCTGTGTCAATAAGGCTTATTACATCTTTGTTTTTTTCATTATAGGTTGATCATAAATACTGAAAATCAGTAAATGGCATTATTTATTATTACTTAAGTGGTTAAGAATTATATTAGATACTGCTTTCCAGAGTAGTATAATGCCAAAACCCTTAATTACGAAAAGGAGAATGTTCAAAGAGTCCTGATCAAATGAATTCTCTTAACTCTCAATTTATGAAAATCATGCTGTATTTTAGCTTGCTTCAGTTTAATTTCAAATTAAAATATAACATACAAATCAATACCAGAATCTGAGTCTCCAAGTTCAGTGTAGCAGAGAGATATATTAAGCATGAGAAATGCTGACAAAAATTCACTGGTGTTTCGTAAAATTTTATGCAAAGAGGACACAAAGTAAGCTTAAATATTGCTCTGAATAATTTTAAGATCTTCTGGAACATTTAATAAGCAATAACACTAATGAAATTTAATTTTAACAAAACTACTTAGAATCATTCTATCGTTCAAGTACTTTGATAATGAAGGCTTAATTCAGGTAAATAGGGAAGAATGTAAAGTCTATATTCTTATAAACAGAATAAAAGTTCCCTTTTGTTTCTGATATTAAAAATATTTTAACAGAATAATGGCTAGAAATTGGTCCCTAATTCAATACTCTTGAAAAATTAAACTAGGTTTTTATTTGTAGTCTAAGATAATAAGAGAATCTTACATAAAGACCAAATAAATACTTACCTGATGTCCTATTGTCTTCCGACTGTTTCAAACTCAGTTGCTTTTCTCTACTGCTGGTTAAATACTTTCTTGAGGGATCTGTCATAGCCTTGTTGTTCCTACAGTTAATAATTTAATCCATTATCCAATGGAATAAAAATACATACAGACATAAAATGATAGTTCTTAACTTTAAATAGTGATTATTCACAAATTTACATTTCAAGTGCTGCAATCTCAGAATCACAAGTAAAATCAGGTGCCATAGTACAGAAAAAGAAGTCCAGTTCCCTTGCCTTGGATTAGAAAAATTTGAAGGTGATATATCCATAAGAATTTCTCTCTAGAATTAGAATAAAGTCTAACCTCTGCATGATTTTTGTCTTGAGATCAGACCCATGCTCTGCTGCCCCTATTCTGTGGGTACTTCTGCAGTAAATCACTTGCACATTAATATCCATTTCAGGATCCCCATCTGGGGAACTTAATTTAAACAGTAGGTAGTAGGCTAGAAAGCACGCTGTAAGGACAGGATTCTGGATTTCAACCTTTTTTGGTAATGGCAATAGAAATCCTATTGCTGATGGTGATACCTTTGTTATCTTATAATGCTACAATTATGATTTTTTTTTTGTCTGTAGTGAACAGAAAGAGAAATCCAATTGCTGGTGGTGATAGCTGTTATCTTATAGTGCTACAATTATGAATTTTTTTGTCTGTAGTATATAGAAACAAAATAAAGTAGAAGAGGATATAGTTCATGCAATTATGAGCCATTTCTCTAGCATGTGTGAAATGAGTAGACTGCACAAAGGAGCTTACTTTGGGTTTGGAAATGTTTTTCTTTTTTTTTTTCTATTTTTTTCATTTTTCATTTTTTTTATTAAAAAGTTTATTTTTACATCATTTTGCACATTTTTTTTTCATCTCAATTGTAATCCCCACAGGTTTCCCATCACCAAATCACCCCTGTGCCACCACCATAGTTGTTTTTCTTTTTTTAAAGAGTCTTTCTTTTTTTATTTTTTATACTTTTAAAAAATATATATAATAGTTTATTTTTACACCATTTTGTGCATTTTTTTTTCATCTCAACTGTAACCCCTTTGGGTTTCCCATCACCAAGTCACCCATGTGCCATCATCATAGTCCAGCGTACTTCCTTACCCCCACCTGTTTCTGATCCCATTTCCCACTCAACACCCATAAATAGACTTTCTTTTTTAAGATTTATATATTTATTTATGCATACAGAACTGGGGTACAGCCAGGTGGTGAGAGGATTCACCAGAGTCAGAATGGGAGCAGAACAGACAGATCAACAAAGTACACTGCTGAGAGGAGCAGCAGGTGAGACAAGAGAAGTCTGCCACACCATGTGGATCACCTCCAGAGCCGGGATCGAACTCTCACTGAAGCAGCTGCGACTAGCTTGCAGTGCTTCGCCCTAACCCGTTACACCACCAGGGAAGGCCAGGTTTGGAAATGTTTTAAGACTGGAATATGGTTTACAACTAAATAAATTAATCAAAAATTGCTGGTGTCCTCGGGGTTAAGTCTCAGCACTATCACCACTATGACATGAGTTTGATCCACAGGGAGCTAACCCACCTATGATGCTGGAGACTGTTCCTGTCTTACCCAACTGCTTCCCTTAGCAGTGTATTTCAGTAAATCCATCTGTTTTGCTTCTCACTCTGTCTCTGATGAATCCTCTCCCCACCCTCCTGCCCAATACCTCTGGCCTATACCCCAGTTCTTTTACAAAATTTAAGTATTTTTTAAAATTGTTCAATTGTGCATTTAAAACAAATTGACAAGTTAACTTCATTATATATAAATCTCCTTTCTTGGCCAAAGTCAAAAAAAGAAAAAAGCAAAGCATTTCTCCATTCCACAGTGGGTCTGGCCTTGTGACTGACAGTACAGTGTATAAGTCTTGATCATAAAGCTAAAGGCACCTTGCAAATTTCCACCTCATTAACCACTGTGTATGGAGAAAAAGTGGGTCATGGACTCCCCTAAATGGCAGGGCCTAGAAAGAGTAAGCCTGGAAGATAGGGCTTAACACACGGATAGCTGTATGAAAGTGTGTACAAAGGGTAAAAATCTGCTTCACATATTATTGTTCACCAGAGAGTACCACTGAAAAGACTTCAAATAACCAGGTTCAGAAGGTAAACTGTCCAGTCAATCTTGGAACTAGCCATCCTAGTATTTCCACAAGGACCCATGAATAACTATCATGGTGGCAGAGATAAAAGCTATGCATGTAATCTGAGTAAGAGCTCCCTTTCACAGGTTGCTTTAGTTTTTGCTATTGGTAAATATCCAGCAGCAGAGATTGATGCTTAGCCCCTGATCGATTGAGCACTATCCCTTAAAGGAAACCAGCCAGTCACTTGGTGGCAAGTCGACTGCATCAGATTCCTTCCATCCTAGAAATAGGAGCAATTAATCCTGATTGCAACTGGCAAATACTATAGGTTTTCATTAGCTGTTCTGTCCATGGGCTTTGACCAGCATCACTGCCTAGGGGTTCATAAGAGTATTTGATTTACTAATATAAAGCCTAATATAATAACATCATAGCGGTTCATAAGAGTATTTGATTTATTAATATAAAGCCTTATATAATAACATCACTCTAGAACAAGGAATTCACTTTACTCAAAATTAAAGGGGAAACAATAAGGGCATATGACCAAAGGATTCACTGGTCCTACCATAAATGGTATTACTCTGAAATTGGAGGCCTGGAAAAAGTATTGCAACAGTCTTTAAAGGTGCAGCTTGGAGATGATCTCTTTAGGAACGTGGTGCCCGTCATAGTACAATATATATCTTAAACCAACAAGCCATGACATTTATAGAAAATGCAAGAATCCAGAAACAAAAGCAGAATGCCCCCACTCATTATCACTCTCAAAAACCCACTTGGAGAATTTGTGCAGCCTGTCCCCTCAATTTGTATTTTGTGGGTCTAGAGGTCCTGGTTCCTTGAAGGGGTAATTTTCTTTTTTTAAACATAGGAAACATTAAGAGTCTCTTTAATCTGAAACTACTGCTGTTACTTAATCATTTTGAGCTCCTCAAACTGGCAGAGCAACATGCAAATAAAGAAATTGCTATACAGGCAGAGATAACTAACTGTGATCAGTATAAGGAGGTAGGTTGCTGCTATACAACAAGGGCAAGAGGAGTATGTGGAATAGAGGGGATACTAGGGAACCTCTTAGTGCTTTCGTGCTCAGTTTTAACCACATACATGAAATTATAGAACCATGAGCAATCAGGGGTTCAGACTCCTCAGAGATGGACATCTCAGTCTTCACCAGGCAAACCACCAAACCAGCAGAAGTGTCAGTGAAGTGTTCAGCGAAATTAGAAGGAAGGGAATGGAGACAACAGCCTCAGTTACAGTCTCAAGGCTATCTGCAGCAATAAGAATTCTAGTTTATCTCACTGGTAATACAATTCTCACTCAGAAACTGGGAAGCATCAATGTGAAAAATTTGTGGTAAGACAGAATGAACTTAACAGTTAAATTGCACAGGAACATCTCACACTCCTCTTTATAATTTTCGTATCTCCATATAGTGTTTTCAACAGCCAACACCTGCAGTTCTTTAAGGATGTCTTTGAGCAACTTAAAATATTTTACCTATCTGGAGATAGTCAAAAGCTCTGGGGCAGTTGTGAATAAAAGACTGGCCAGTATGGGGTATGAAAGTCCATCTCCCTTGCCTTAAGTTGCAACCAGCCCAGGTTACACTCCTAGGAAGCCTAGTCTCCTAGGAAGTGATTTACTAAAATCACTTTTGGATGGTTTCTTCCGCTTTCTTTCATTATCCTGTTTACTTCATTCTGTTGGTGATTACTCCCTTGAATACTTCCTTAATAAGTCATTTGCAAAAAAATCTATTAATCTAGTGTCAAACCTCAAAAAATCTGTGATGCTGTAACAAGTATTATTAGTCCCAAATTTAGAAATTTTGGGCTTATTAGACAAAATTCTAAATGGAACTTGGACTTCCCCAAAATTAGTAAATACAGTATAAGTAGTCCATGCAGCTGTCCATGACAACCACTGTTTAGTCCACCCTGGTTTATACAAGCCAGAAAGATGAAAAACTGTATTTCCTAGTTAATGTTCAGGATTGTAGATGGGTCAATTACATGTATTTGTGTAAGATCTGGAAAGAGGAAGTCATATGTTCTGCCATTTCTGATAGCAAATATCACCTTGGTTTTTTTTTTTCTTTAAAGACTTATTTATGCATACAGAACTGGGGTGTAGGCCCGAGGTGCAGGGACTGTGAGAGTATTCACCAGAGACAGAGTAGGGAGCAGAGAAGGCAGACTGATGAAGTATATTGCTGAGGGGAGCAGTGTGTAGGTTAGGAAAGGTCTGCCATGCCATGTGGGTCACCTTCTTGTAGTAAAATTTCTGTACCAAAAAAAAAGAAGAACCAAAACCAAAAAACCCTTGCAAATTGAGGAAGAGGACTGTGAGATGCTAACTACCTTTTGTTCAACCTAGAAAATACCTCTCAAAGATTGCTATTTCTTGCACTGAATCTAAGTAAGGTTTATTTCCTTTTGTCCTAACTTTTCACAAGTGTGGTCAACTTTTTTTTAATAGAGAAGAAGAGTAGGGGAAGAGGTTCAAGCTAAAGAGTAGCCAGCAAGAAACACTTGTTTACAAAGTTCCTCGGCTCTTTAATTTCTCTAAGTATCGCAAATTTAAAAACCAGAATAAGTGTGATGAAATGACCAAAGCAACAGCAATGGCTAAATCCTATCTCTATTGGCTTATAATCTACTATTACCAAAATACTTTGGAGTTTCCATACACTGAACAACATCCCCTAAATTTTCCCTATTGATTATTACCAGTTATAAGAAATTCTGATCTAGTGCTGTGAAGGTTCTTAAAGCAACTTACGATGATGAGTCATTTTCTTTAGGGTAATCTTCATTCAATTCTGAACCAGATGACAGCACTCTTTTCCTCTTTTCGGTTCTATAGAGAACAGAGGAAAAACAAATTCATACCATTAAAAAGTACAAACGAGGCCCTCCCTGGTGGCGCAGCAGGTTAAAGCACAGCACTAAGAAGCTAAAGCCATTTCTACAGGAATTTGATTCCTGCCTCCTCCGGAGGTGACCACATGGCGTGGCAGACTTTTCCTGACCCACCTGCTGCTCCCCTCAGCAGTGGACTTCGTTGATCTGCCTGCTCTGCTCCCCACTCTGTCTCTCGTGAATCCTCTCATTGCCCCTGCCCCTCTGACCTGTAACCAGTTTTGTATGCACAAGTAAATAAATCTTTAAAAAAATAAAGTATAAACCAGCATGCCCAAAGACAGACTGACTACTGCTATTTCACTCTCTTTACCATGTGGCTATATTTATACTTATCTGCATGCTCAATACATGTCATTGACATCAACCATTTAAGACAAACATTAAATATATACCAAAAAAAAACACTCTACAGTTTCTTCTTCTAACAGACTTTGCTCACTGGACAATGATCTTTTCAAATTACTGGTCTTTCTAAGACATTTATAAACAGGTACAACTAATGACTAAGAAAAAAATAAAAGAAGTTCATACCTATTTTCTAATAACCCTGACCTAAGAGGCGTTGATGTAGATGTCAAAGAGGGAATTGTCCGGGTGACAGTTATTCCACTTCCTGCTGTAGTCTTCATTGAGCCTCTACCTGGAGTACCAAGAACTTTTCGAAATGGAATATCATCTTTACTTTCCAAACTTCCTCTTTTTGAAGAGGCCTATAAGAATAAAGTTTAATACAGCTAAATCTTCAAAGTAATTGCATCGACCAGTTAATTCTCACATGTGTTGCTTTTAAAAAGCACCCACAATTTGGGAGATTCTGTAGAGGTTTAAAACAAATCTGTCTGGGGTAAGACTCACTCATCAGTATTTTTGAAGCACTTTAGGTAATTCTACTATCTAATCATTGTGAGCAATTGAACTTGATGTTTAATTTTCTTGTATGTAGTATTCTATAAATTAAAAAATTCCATTGCTTATTGGGGCTCTAAAGTGGGGAAGAATGCTTTGAACTGCTGATTTAAAAGAATGAAAGACTCACATACACAAGACATAGTTTTAGTGACTAACATGAAAATAGATTTTAAAGAAAAATACCCCATTGTGATTATAAATTGACATATATGTGAGAAAAAGAAGCAACAATGGTATTTATTGCCACAACTTCAATCTCAAGTGACATGTACCTCACATGAACTTTTGAGAGGGAGTCTAGTTTGGAGGACAAGGAGAGTAAGAGTGAGGTAGACTGTACTGGCAGAAGATGAATCAGAGTTTACCCTAAAGAAATATGAAGAACATTTAAAGAAAATACAGCAACTTAGCATATTAGTTGGGAAACAGTACTTTTAACCACTATAGCAACAGGAAATTTTATAACTGTACATTAAGAGCAACGTGATTTCTCTATGGAAGATATTTCCAAATATATTTAATTCCACAGAAATACAATCTTAGGACAGGAAGGAGAAAAATCTTAGGTCATCTGAACAAAAGACTGAAAAAGCTACATTTATTTTCAAATGGGTGGTACATTTTTAAGAATCAAAACCACTCTTATTATGGTTATTATGAAAGCCATGCACTGAGATGCCATCCAGCCAGTTCTTCCACCTTCATTCTCCTACACCTCAGTAAGTATGCTTCAACTCTTTCCTATGCAAACAAAAATCATTATTCTTTTTGCCATACAAATAGTATTTAGCATATTATGTTATGCTATTTTGTACCTTTTCAGTCTTTTTAGCCCCATAACAGATATTTTACATCACAACCTATTTCATATACATATAAATGTAACTAAAACAAAAATTCAACAAATCAACACTTTATCCTCCGTGTATATGTTACTGCCTCTATTTTCTTTTCTATTCTATTCTTTATTTAGAGCTAGTAAAAACCTGTAAAATTGACTTAATAATCCCACTAACAGGAATTATTTCTTTGGGAAAGTATTAATATTTGTTTCTGTTATATGTGTTAAAATTCACGTAACACTCCAATATTAAATTTCTCCCTACAAATGGTTGAATCTCAATATAATTATGTTAAATGAGAAAGTAAAAAAAAAAAATCACACTTATTCCATTTATACACAACTATAGAAAATGCAAACTTATTTACAGTAACAGCAAATCAGTTGTGACTTAGTGATATGGACCATAGGGGTTGTGGAGAGGGTAAGGAAGAAATGCAAAGAGGAAACATTTAAGGGTTATTATGGCTTTGTTAACTAGTTGATTCTGGTGATGATTTTACCAATAAGTACGTAAGTCAAAATATATAAAACTGACACTTTGGATATTTACATTTATTGCATATCAACTGTATTGCAATTAAAATGTAAAAAATAACCAACATATGAAAATTCACAAAAATGAAATTTTATAGACTGCTTAGTACAGACTACCTCTCTGTAACAGTCTTACAGAAAAGCTTCAAAGCTTCAAAGCTTCTCTTACTTTTTACCCAGCTTTCCTTGCCAAACAAGGAAAGGACTTCTAAGTTACAATAGTACACAGCAAGTTTCATAGCTAGTTGAATAATCTATATGAAAGAAAGATCATTGCAGCATACAGAAGACCTCAACAAAACAGTCTGGAGCTGATATCATGTGGTGTAGGGTGTAGTTCATAATGCAGAATAGACTTTAAAAAGAGTACAGAAGTCACAGTAGCCAACACTTATAGAGTTGTCATTATATAGCAGAGATGGCTAAGCACTTTTACATGTATTATGTCATGGCAATCTGAAAATATAACTGCTATCTCAATTTCACAGGATACTTAAACAACTTCGCGAACAACAGCTAGTAAGTGGCAGCACGAAGTCTCAAATCCAAATCTAACTCCAAAGTTGCATTTCCAATAACTACACTCTACTGTAGTTCGTAATGATGACCATGAGACATCAAACAAAGGTTAAATTGTGATCTGTAAAATGATTTTTAAGGGAAGAATGTGTAAGTTTTAGAAAAATCTTTTATTTTAATGGTGAAAAAATTTGTATTTCGAGTTAGCCAGTTTAGATGACTGTAATATTGCTAGTAAAACGTGAAGCATCACAATCAGGAGCCAATCGAACACTGCCTTCTGTCAATTGGGTGTGATTAGGATGTAAACCTTGGTCAGATCAATGTCACAGAGTTTCTTCATGGTCTATCTGATCTAGTGTTTGTTGTTCATGACATCCACAATGAACAAGTGTGTTGTTTTCTATCTTCTTCCTGACTGACTTGGTGGTCAAGAGAAACTTGATGGACAGTAGTTAAGCTTGTTTCTCCCAAAAGTTCAATAAAGGAAGAAAGAGATTCTTCCATTTGGATTGCCTTCAGAGCTACAGTGTCTTGGGCCACTGGAAGGTAGGTAACATGTGGATCTTCTTTCTGTGTGTGTGGCTGTGGACACCTTTCATCATTGCTTTCTTGGCCTTCAAACCTTTGGCTTTGGCTTTAGAAGGGGCAGGGATGTCCTTCTTTATTTTCAGCACCATCTTCATGAAAAGATTTTCAAGAAAAATTATAAAAATAGTGGAAGAGACTGAGATGGTTAAAATGGTTAATTTCAAGTATATAGAAAATAACCTCGTGACAATGCCAGAACTACAAATTACTACTTCCTGCAACTACTTTATAGAATGTCTGCAGTAAACATATTTTTGAACACACAAGAAGATTCTAATAACATACCTGATTGTCTGAGTAGGAAAGCTGTCTATTGGTTTCCTTCTGTGAGGTCCTGCTGCCCAGAATAGCTCCAAAATTTCCAGAACCCTGAGAAGACTTCATGGCTGCTGACAAAAAAAAAAATTCCTGAATCACTTACTTTAATAAAGAGATTTAGCACTGTTGGTACTGTTGTTTTTTTACCATTGTTCTTTTCTACATATAGTGAAGAAATGAAATAAGGCAGTAATTAAAATTTAGAGCTGAATCTCAAGGAAAATATTAAATATGCAAAAGTTTGGGAACAGGTAATAAAAGGACAAAATTTTAAACATAAAAAGAAAATGCTGGAAATTCTATATGAATAGGTAATTAATATAAATATCTGGTAATTAAGACCACAGAAAGCTAGTCACTGAATATCTGTAAATCTATGGCACACTATGTCGATACTGTGACAGTGAAATGACAATGTATACTAATGGAATGATTTTTGTAAGATAAACTCCTTAGGATAAATAAGAACTACAAGGGTAAAGGATACACAATTTTAAACTAAATTGCTATTACTACTTAGTCTTCCAAAAAATACTTGTAAGGGGCTAAACTCCATTATAGCCTACATAACAGTAAGAATTTGATTTTGTTTAATCACTGGTGAAGCTGAGAATTTTTTCATGTTTAGGAGTCATTTGTTTTTCTTCCTAAATTTCCTAGTTGAGGTTTTGTCTATTTCTCTACTGAGTTGTCTTTTCCTCACTGATTTGTAAAAGAGGTCTTTGTATATTAGCCATATTATTAACTTTGTGACTAAGGCTATTTTCCTCCTGCCGTTTTATTTTCACTTAAATTTATTTCACACAGTACAAGTTATTAACTTTTTCTATTACTGATTCTGACTTATATGTCATACTCAGGTCTTTTCCATCCAGTAACGCTAAAATTGCTCTCTCTCCCCCTTTAATAATACTTTAATAACTTTACTTAAAATCAAATCTTTTATCAGTGGGACCTTATTTAGATCAAAGTAACTTTTATCAATGTAAACTATTTAGATGAAAGAAGAGATTAGGATAAAATTTTACTATCTTCTTAAACAGCTGGTTATTTTACTCATAGATAACACTATCGGTCTTTTTTGCCACTAACTTGAAATCCCACACATTATATATTAAATGTTTTATGCTTTTCAAAGTATGTATATCCATTATTACATTCTAGTCTACATAAAGTTTATACTAGCACGTTAAGGCAGCTAAGACAACTTCACCTAAAAGATTAAAATAACTTGCCCAAAGCACAGCATGTGTTAGCTAAGTCCACAGCTGGTTACTCTAATAACAGCAATGACTTCCTATCATTTATCCATAATGTTTTAACTGAGTTATTCCAACTCTTTAAAACAAGCAGTGAAATTAGGGTAGCACATCTTTCACTTTAGACATGAAGAAACTCAGTTAAGTGACTTGACCCAAACCACACATGAAGTAACAAGGAGAGCTAGGATTCAAACCCAAAGTTTTTCTATTATGCCATGCTGTCAGATTCAGACTTGGTCCCCTGTCTACCATGCTTTCCACATCAATGCACTTATAGATAAGCTTTTCTTATAAACATCAATTCTAAAAATAGTGATTCAAATAATATATGATAAAACAAAAGTAAAAAATATAGTTGAGTCTCTAACATATTCAAAAATTCTTAAACACCACTTAATTCTTTGCTCCTAAAATTCAGTAGTTAGTTAGTAAATTCATATGGCTCAGCCTTAGTAACATGAAAACATGAGTAGGCACTAAATGGCAAACAACTGTAATTTTTTTTAGAAGTTAAGCTGTGGTCAAATAGAGATACCAGTTAAATACAAGCAAAGGAGCACTCTGACATTTTCATTTTCTAATGTTTAGGTTAGAAAAATTAAGCTTATCAACTATAAAATATCACTAATAACAAATACTGATGATAGAGCTGGAAAGTAACAGTAAATATGTATTTTTTTAAAAGATATTTTAAATGAAAGAAAATGGGGGCAGCAGAGGAATATGATCATATTAACATGACTTTCTAAATTACTTGCTATTTTCATAGCCAGTATAGAATCTTGGAATAAAATTCATATAGAAAGGCAAGACGGGATGTAACAAGGTGACTTTTCCCAATTATAATTTAAATCTTCCTCTTTTTTTAGCCAAATACTTTTGTAGACTACTTAAAGTTTTCTACATATTAAGACTTTGTCATCTGAGACCAAAATTCTATCTCATCTCTTCCAATTTGGATGCCTTTTCTTTTTCTCACCTAAATGCGCTGACTGGGACTTCCAGTACTATGTTTAGTAGAAGTGACAGGCTTTGTTTTTGATATTAGAGAAAAATCTTCCAGTTTTTCATTATGGAGTACGATATCTGTTGTGGTTTTTCTTTTCTTTTTTTAAATCCTTAACCTTTCTTTTTTTTTTTTTAAGATTTATTTATTTATGCATACAGAGCTGGCGTTCAGGCCAGAGGTGCAGGAGCCAGTGAAACGATTCACCAGAGACAGAGTGGGGAGCAGAACAAGCAGACTGATGAAATACGCTGTTGAGTGGAGCAGCAGGTGAGACAGGAGAGGTCTGCTGTACCATGTGGGTCACACCCCTGGCTAGGGATCAAACTGATGCTGAAGCGGGTATGGCTAGCTTTGTAGTGTTGCATTTAACCCACTGCACCATCAGGGAAGGCCCCAGTTGTGGGTTTTTCATATATGACTTTTATTATATTAGAGTAGTTTGCTTTGATTCTTAGTTTGTTGGGTGTTTTTTCATGACGGGATGTAGAACTGTATCAAATATTTTTTCTACACTGAGATGCTCATGTGGGTTTTGTCCTTCATTCTGTTAACTTGGTGTTACACTGATTTTTCTTCTCCTGAACCATCCTTGCATTCCAGAAATAAATTCCATTGGGTCATAATGAATAATCTTTCAATGTCTATTGAATTCAATCTCTTAACGTTTGTTAAATTGAAGATTTTAACATCAGGAACACTCTTATAATCTAGCAATATTCTCTTAAAACTGCTCATGTCAATAAGAACGGAAACCATAAAATACCTAGAAGCAAAGATGGGTCAAACACTTCACGACATACACTTTAGCGACATCTTTTAAAGACAGAGCACCCAACGCCACAATAGTGAAGGCAAAGATAAATAGATGGGACTATATCAAGTTAAAGAGCTT